AATAAATTATATTTGCTACAACGATAAAGCAATCGGAAACGATGTTCATTGTCATTTTCCTTTTAAATTTCATGCATTGAAAGGTTTTGTCCACTGAAATTTTAAAATATATTGAATAAGCTTTAATAAAAATATTAAAAATTCTCACAACGAATAAAATAAAAAGTTCAAAAAGATGCGGCACAACAAAATATTTCAATACATTATATGAAAGTTGAAAATTCTGATCAAAAAATGTGGAAAATAAGAAATTGCATGTGCAATTATCGGTGACACATTGAAACAATATTAATTAAATTCTTAATCAGTTTTTTTTCCTTAATCAAGTGATTGAAAAAGAAATAACTGGTTCAAAATTGCAAATAAAACCATATTAGTCATTTGATATATATTTATTGATTGATATCAAAATTTATAAATATGAGTGATTTGATTTATTATATATTAACTTTATAAAGATCAATAAATTAAGACAGTTAAATAAGCAAAAAAAAAGATCTCAATAACTAAGAATGCTGTTTTATATCAATGATGAAATAACGGATATTATTGAATTAATATTAAATAATTTTTAATGATTCATTTCATTTCCAATTTCAATATAACGGTCCTTATTGCTTTCATTTTAAGCTTTTTAAAATAACTTTTGCCTGTTCTGCTCATACATGACGAGAATTTCTTATTAGGAAAAAAAATTAAATTCAATAGTGAAAAGAGAGTTTTGTTTGATAAGTATAAATTAAACCATGCAAAAAAAAAATAAAAAATAAAATGGTAAAATGAGATGAAATTAGGCAGATAACAAACACAATGAATCGTTTGATTGCAACAAAACAATTTTTGAGCTCTTTTTTTTATAAAATAAAATCTTTTTAAAATTGTTTCAAAATGAGGTTAAAAGTGCTAATTTTTTTCTCTGTTGCAGCTAATGTATGCTTCCATTAGTTTGAAAAGTTTGACAGAAAAAGTGTTACAGTTATTTTAATTAAACAAATTGTTAAGAAAGTAAGCAATTGGAATATATTTCATCTTCAAATGTGAAATTCCCAGTATTAAATATTGAAATTTATCCTGTGTATATTTCGAAATAGCGGAAATTTTTTTTTAACTTTCTATCAATGGCAAAATTCAGATAAGCCGGAAGAGTAAGTAACATTCATTCAGAAATTTGATAAAATAGAAAATTTTCAATTATACTGCTTTAAATATTGCTTGTTTGGGAAGTTTTTGTGTGTGCGTGTGTGTGTTTTTTCAGACAAAAATATAGCAATAACAGAAACAATTAGTGTTTTAAAGAAATGAAGTGAATTGTAAAAGAGTGAAATAGAAATGATTCGTTTCAGATCAGAAGGCAAGAAAGTTAATAAATTTTGGATCAAAGATTATTTCATTAAAAAATAACAACAAAATTGTTTCATTTTTTCAAAACTTCCGGTTTTTTTAACTGTTTCAAAAATTTCCATTTTTTTTAAAACTATCCAAATTAAAAATGAATTCGAAACGAATTTTACAAGTTTTTAATAGAAGAATTTTTAACAGAAGAAATGAAATAAAAGTATGCTTTTCCAAAGTAGCCAGCAAAAATGCGTTGCAAAAAATTTAAATAAAAAGAGGAAAAATGAATTGAACGACTTCAAAAAGTATGATTATTGATTGTATGAACCACCGATGATAAAAAGTTGACAATGACATGCGATTGTGATAGCGATAAGAGACCAATCGAGAATGCACCTTAAATGTCCATCATTGCTTGCAAATTACATCGGTGGCCAGTAATCGATCGAATGAACCGACATAAAATAGCATATATATATGATCAGTGCACTTTGATCTGATCTGATCTGATCAAAGAATGATTAATGGAAAGCAGTGTGACGTGTAAATTAAATCTGTTAAACAGAAGTTAGCTGAAAAATATGACGTTGACGAAATTTTAGAGCACTTTTTGCCGACAAGCATAACCTATGCTCAACTCGTCTTCCACTACCAATGTCATGTACCGTGATATCTCGATCCATCTATTTCAACTTTACTCTCTCACATCTTTTCATGCATTTTATTTTGAAGCATAAATTAATTGTGCTTATTTATTGATAAAGAGAATTTGCAACATACAACATTTATTGTTATTTTAACATTCTAATAATTTCAAAATATCATATCTTTTAGAAATTAGAATATGTATAATTCATATTAGGTTTTTCAATTTTCGTCCAACGTTGTTTTATTTTTGTATTTTCATTAAATTTTTATTCATACAATTTTTTATACAAGAATTTAAACAATAGTCTGTGTAGCCATACAATTCAAATTAAAATAGATTGATTTTTGCATAGCTCTTTTTCAAATTTCACACAAATCTATCATTTGATTTTTAAAATTACAAAAGTCATTCGAAAGGTCTTTCCAAATCAAATCAATTCAATTTGAAAATAGTGCGTTATAGAATGTTATAGTGCTTCAATTAATTGAAAATTGCCAAGCTATTAAATGTTGTAATTTTCTCACATCTACAAATTATACTCCTAAACATACTCCCAAACAGTGATGCCAATTAGTAAATTACTCATTATTCATTTCTTTCTGATCTTGAAATTCTCTTTGTCCATTGATAATCATATTAATCAGATATTGCCAATATCGTAATTTAAAAAATAAAAAAAAGATGTAAATAGTGAAAGTAACGTATGTTAAGACAATGAATATTTTAATAGCAAATATTATTTCAAATGATTAAAAATTTAGAAATTAAAATAATTAATATTAAAATACTTAAAGGTATCAAAATAGTTAAGATCGAAATGCTTATGAATAAATTGCTAAATAACTGGAAATAAGAATAAAAGAGTAATTGGAAACAGTTCTCATCAATTCTCAAAACAGCTGTCATCAATTAAAGCCTTTGTCAAACATAATTTCAGTTTTGTTAAAGGATCGAACAAAGCGAAATTAAGAAGTGCATGATCGGGAAGCCAATACTAACTTATTGTTTTCTTACCTTATGAAGACACATGCTGATAACTCTGTCACGACATTTAATTGTTGATTTGTTAAAGGGGCATGACGATAACCAGTTATAGCTGTTTGTTATTGTCTTAGTTTTTATGAAAATGATTTCAAAGTTGATAACAATAAATCATTAAGTGGATTGTAGAAGTTTGAAGGCTTAAAAGTTACAGTAACAATTATTTTTAAAGTTATTTGAAATCCGGAAAAAACATGACAAGACTGGTATCGACGCATACAATCAAATATATTTCCATATAGCTGAATAATAAAGCAGCATTGAATGTGTCACAAGTTGGTGCAAAAGTAATTAGCAATTTTTGAATCGTCGAAATTTGTCACTTTTTTTCACTCACTCGTTGAGTTGAAGGAAAAATAATATAAAAAACAAATAATTCAAAGGTTTTATATACCAGTTTTCAATTTTCAAAATTATATTTGTGATGTTAAAGAGAAAAAAAAATAAATTAAAAGTTGGATGAGTGGAATTGTAGATAACAAACTGCCAAGAAATTATTTTGCATCTGATTGAGAACAAATGTGAAATTAAGGCTAAAATTAAATGCTAGAAGTTAAAATTGAACAATGGAAGACAAATAACTGAATACATAATTAGTGAAACATAAGTTAAAATTTCACATATTGTCTAATAGCAATAATATTGAAAACATATATTTTTGGAATAGTCAAAACAATTATCCAAGCCATACTTAGAATAAACAATAAGCATTCTCAATGACAAGAACGGAAGTGGAAATTTATTTATGAATAGAAGAATGTATTTATTCAATAAATGTAATAACTAAATCATCAAAAATCAAATTGAAATAAGGAAATAAAACACGAAATGATTATTCAAACCACTACAAAATAAATCATCATTGGAAGTAACTGATTTGAAAACAAAAATTTAAAATTTAATAATACTGAAGTTGATAAATTTTGATAAAATTACGATGCATATATAAGCATTAACCAATGAAGTAATATAAAAAATTTCGATATCATTTAATTCAAATCAAATTAAGTGTGACGGGAAATTTGCAGCAATGAAATAATTTGAAAAGATTCACTGAAAAATTATTTCCCAACAAAGTAAATTCAATGGTTTGACCGGAAATAATCATTCTCGGCTTGATCTTTGCTGTCCGTTCGATGTCCACACATAAAATAATTTTATTTACAACAGCCCATGCCAAAAGAGCACTAACGATTGCAAATCGATCAATATCGTATAACTGTCTGTCTTGTTATCATTTCACAGTTCTGTTTTCCACTAAACTACCCGTGATAATTTCTATTTGTCTGTCAATGTAATTTAATTTTCTACTAAACTTTATAATAATTAAAATCTCACTGAAGTTTTTCACATTTTCTTGTGACCAAAAATTTGAAATAGATATATTCGCAATATTTCCTTAGCAAAATTTATGATGCATTTTGGTTGTAAGAATGACTAACTCTGATAAACTGATAAAAATGAAATTGTATTATTTGAAATTTATTATTAAAACATTATCTTCCGAATATAGTATTGTAATCGTTTTGCTTGGAATTATTCATGGTAAAATTACTTCAATTCTTACCGGTTACTATATGAATGTATGGCTTGTAGAAAAATTCAAGAAAATTTAATTATTTGAATTGATCGATCGACTTTTGAGAATCCATTGGGTAGTAGTAGAATGAATGATTTGAGCAATAGAAAGTATGGAAGAACAATTTAATCATTTATTTACCACAAAATTATTCCGTAAGATCAATAATCTTCCTAATTAAGCCAACATTTCAAAAAATTAAGTAAAGGGCAAATGTGAATGTCTGTAAGAGTCATAGGTAATAATGATGATAATTTGTGCGAAAAGCAAAGTTTAATTAACTATGATTATTTCAGTACTTCTTGTAAAATATTATTTCGGAAGATGTTTTGTATAACACTTTAGTAATGCAGAAATTGATTCAAAATACTTTGATTTAAACATTATTGAAATTCAATGAATGAATTATCAAGCGGAATTGTTCATCGTTCACGTCAAAGTGTATGGCCAGCTGTATCGGTGGAGGAAGCAATGTTCATGATAGAAGAACATGTTTCGTTGACGGATAGAACACGTACCGTGGTCATTGCCGAGATCAAAACAGGTACATATATTTAATAATTTAAATCATTCCAAAAATTTCAACTATACAATTAAAAAGTGAGACGTACGTGTGTTTGCATGTCCGCATGTTTCAAAGCGGCAAATGAAAGGCATAGTTTGCGTAAGAATTCCTTCACCTATATAAATTTACTTCTTTTTTCCATACATTTTATATTGGTAGCAGTTATGAAAAGAGCATTTAGGAGATATTCTGGCGGAAGATATAATTGCGACAAAAGCACATCCTGAAGTACGTACGTCTGTTAAAGATGGATATGCTGTTGTGGGTTGGTATTCAAATATTCATTTATTTCCATTTTACTAAATTAGAATTATAAAGGATTGGAAAAATTAGCTTAAGACATCTTAGATAGTCTTCTTTGTTGAGGCAATCATTTACAACAAAGTAGTTGCTTTTTATGGTATTTGAAGTATCGGATGGCAAAGGTATTCGAAAGGTCGTGACCGGAACAACAGCCGGTGTTTTGGCTTCCGATATTCTCCAGCCGGGTACTATCTGTCGAGTAAATACAGGTTAAATTTTTAATGAAATTGAAGATTAATCCTTATTCTGATTTAAATATGTTAGATTTCACTATAAAATATCAACCTCTTAACAATTTTCTTCTCTTATCAATAATCTATACTTTAATTTTGAATTATTTGTTTAAAGATCAGATTGGTCATCTAAACAGACTTTGTTATTTTAAAACAAAACTTTATCAAACATAAATTATATTATTCGCTTTTTATTTTATAAGTTAAATGTATATTTGTTAAGGTTCCATGGTACCAGATGGTGCAGATGCGGTAGTACAAATTGAAAATACTCGTATTGTGGAGCATAATGTTAGTAAGCATGTTTATATAATAAATCAACATTTTTAAGATTCAAATTTTATTACTTCAAAAAATCATTTTGGTTATTTCAGTGCAAATTTTCATACTCATTTAAATTCAAATATTTTGTAATCAAGAGAATTAAAACAAATAGCGTATTCAATTTTCAGCACATTGAAGAGATTACAGTGGAGATTTTGGATGAACCGAAAATTGGACAAAACATCAGGTAGAATGGCATTTCTTAGCCACTGAAATGGATTTCAGAAATATAAGCAGAGATAATTTGTTTGTCTTAGCTAATTTTAAAGTATAGAGAGAGAGCTGCAACACGGATTTTTATATTTGTTATGAGAACAATTGAGTTCAATGAATTCGGAATTTGATGTTCATATTGTAGAGAAATTGGTTGTGATATCAAATTGGGTGAAATTTTGCTTTCTAAAGGATGTGTGATAAGCGCAGCTGAAATTGGCATCTTAGCAGCATCAGAAAGAAAATTCGTGAGAATATATCAAAAGCCTAAAGTGGCAGTTATTTCAACAGGTTATGAAGTAAGTCGATAACAGAGAAGGAAAGGATAACAATCGAAAATGTATCGATTTATTTAAGGAATTATTGAAAAGATCTGATTTTCTTATCGAAATTCCATAAAACTGAACTTCCCTTTTCTTTTTTAAACATCAAATTTACTCATTACTCATTGTAAGATGAAATTTGAATTAGAAAAAAAATGATGTGAGATTTAAGGTAGTGGACAGTGCATCGAATGATTGCCCATTAGGATCAGTACGGGATACAAATCGTCCACAACTTATTGCTTTGCTAAAGGAAAATAATTTCAAGCATGTGGATATTGGCATCTTACCAGATAAGTTAGATTTTTTTACTTAAAATTTGAATTAAGAATTGATAGTAATTATTGTATTCTTTTAAATTAAAAAGATTCAAATAATAATGAACTAATAATTTAATTTTGTAGAAGGGAAAAAATAGAAGAGGGACTGAAAACAGCACTGACATTATGTGATGTTATTGTTTGTTCTGGTGGCGTTTCTATGGGTGAAAAGGTATCATCTATTTTATCATATTTTATTTAAAAAGTACTATTTTTTCTATGGGAGATATCACTTTTGATTATTTTTGCTGAAAATTGTTGAATGAATTTAAATTAAGGTGCGGAACGATTTTGTAATCAAAAACTGTCATTAAATGGTTTTGTAAATGAAAGATGAAGTTGAGATAACGATTTCTGGCAATCATAGCACATCTTTCGAATAATAATTAAATAATATAAAATTAATTTAAGGATTATCTCAAGGATGTGCTACAAAAAGGATTAAATTTCACGATTAAATTCGGTAGAGTAATGATGAAACCTGGCTTGCCAACTACTTTTGCATACCGAAAATGGAATAACAGAGAGAAATTTGTTTTTGCCCTACCCGGAAATCCTGTATCAACTTGGGTTACTGCACAATTATTCCTACTACCTGCACTAAAAAAGATGGCAGGATGGGAACACTATCAGCATACGGTTATTAGTGTACGAGTAAGTGCCAATTATCTTTTCCCCAATAAATATTTTTAGGTTCCACCTTAGTTTCTTTTTAAATTTTAAATCCAAAAATATAGTGAAATCAGCGGAAAGGGAGTTAAATTTATTAAGGAATTTATATAATATAAGGGAGCTTGTTATTATTCCTAACGCTCTTTTCAACTCATTTCTCAAATTTTGAAATTTATTTTAACCTGAAAATTTGAACAGAATGTGAATTTGTAGCTAAGTGAAACAATAAAACTGGATCGTCGGTCGGAATATCGACGAGCTTGCCTAATACCTGATCCAGAAAACATACCACATGCAATTTGCCTGGAAAAAGAGCAAATGAGCTCACGACTGTTATCAATTCGAGGTGCTAATTTGTTGCTGAAATTACCCTCCTGTACGGATACTAAATCAATGGTGCAAAAGGATGAAGTGGTGGATGCGTTGGTGATTGGCCGATTATAAATCGTTCAGTTTCAATAACTGTCTACAATTTTATGCTATACAGTTTTAAACAAATATTATTCAAACTGATGTAAAAAAAATCAAAACCGTAGTTCAGAAATTTCAGTACAAATTATATTTTTAAAATAAACGTGTGAATGACCGCAACAGATGATTTTCTCTTATGCTTGAGGATATTACAGATGATTTCCTGAATGTTTCTTACCTGAACTAGATGTTACGGTTGCTCTTACTTCTAGTTATCATGTCGGATAGTTCCGCCTTGCTTAGTTTTTTTTTCCATGATATTAAAAAACTTCGAGATTGAATTTTTTCGAGAAAATCTATAAAAAAAGGCCAACCGAATTCTCAAAAAATCCAGTGCTAATTAAAGCTGAAACAAGCAGAACAAGTGCGCATTTGGAATTCATCATTTCCACCATAGAAAGCCTTGGGATGTCCTTCTGGCTCAAATTTCATCCATATCCCGCCTTATAAAAAAAGATCATAATAGAGCAAGAGAAACCTGATTAAATCGTTCCCGACACTCTTCAGAAAACTAACTCTGGTTTGACGTAACTGCTCACTACACCCAATAGTTGTGCATTTTTATCAGTTCATTTTATTGGTATTATTTTAATTATAAACGCCACTTCATGGACTTCTGCTAATAATATGAATTAGAAAGTCCCAATTAAATGATAAAATTAAAAAGGAATCTGCCTTCCTAATCTGCATTATCAAAAGCCTGGAGATTAAAGACACCCGAATCTGGATTTTCTTTAGAATCATTAGAAAAAAGTGGAATCCTTCATAAATACGCCGTATGTAATTTTTCACTTTCATTCTTCATTATACGAAATAATGAAAATTTGCAACATTTCTTATACGGTGTTCTATATTTCAAATAAAATTTTAGGGGAAGAAAAAATGCTCCTTCATTTCGTCACAAATCTCAGTGACACATTAAAAAGCCTCAACAAAATATGATGAAAACAAGAACTAAATCAAACTGCTGTAATTTTAACAAGTTTCAAAAATCCATAGCAAAGTTTTTTTAGAAAAAACAAATTATTTATTACTCCCAGAAGATTTGCGGGTAACCGAAATGAAAAAAATATTGATTAGTTTACAGCGTAAATTATTGTTAGCACAGTACAGCACCGGGAGATTACGTACTGTACAACTTATCATATCAAAAGAGTAAAAACAACTGGTATAACAGAAATTTTAACGAAACTTCAAATCTCACTTGCTTTCTTCTTTTTTAGGCTCTTCTGCTGTCTGAGCTTCCTGTGTTCCTGGAAATTAAAGAAAATAGCGTTTCCATCAGATTTCCAAAATCATTAAATAACAAAACTCAAAAACTTGCCGCTGGAAGATTGGGTATTTTCTGCTGCCATTTTCTTGTAGACGGCCTCAAACAATTTTAGTGACTGTTGTTGCAGCGAACCGATTGCCTCACGTATATTGGCTGTCGTTTCGTTATCCTTATTTGCCAACAGTTGCTTCAGTTCATTAAGTTTATTACGAATTTTTTCAGCCTGAAAACTATCAGAGTGAAACTTTTGTTGGCTTCTTCACTTATCAGTGCAGATGATTTTCTCATTTATACTTGAAACTTTTTAATTAAAATGATTTTCTTCTTAATGTTGACTCTTTCAGCAACAGTTTATGAGTTGATTCAAGTAGGAAAAAACAAATTTCAACGTTTTTCATATACCGTATGCTCTAAAGGAATGAAAAGTGAGCTTATCTGGAATATCACATTTCCTTTCAAATGATGGGTAATAAATATAAAATAATAAACTTAAAATATAAAAGCAAATCAATGGCACATGTGAGAAATTACCTCTTTCGCATCCACTTGATCTTTGAACTCAGTTAACTTAGAATCGGTATCTTGAATAACACTTTCTGCCTGATTACAAACTTCAACCTTCTCTTTTCTTTCAGCATCCGCGGCAGCATTCTTTTCTGCTTCACGAATCATATTTTCAATCTGATCCTTTGATAACCCACCAGAGGAGCGAATCACAACTGAAATTAGAAAGTGATGAAATAATTTTTGTGTTAGTAAACTCAATAGTTTCCCACCGCTTAGTGAACATTTTAAAGGAATACACATTCTGAAACTAACTTTGCTGTTCCTTCCCCGTTCCTCGATCTCTTGCTGACACATTAACAATACCATTTGCATCTATATCAAAAGTGACTTCGATTTGTGGCACACCACGTGGAGCTGGTGGTATTCCAACCTTTAATGAAGTAAATGACGAAAATAAAAAAAGTCTAAGATTCAAAAAACAATCGACAAGATAGAAATGAACATACCAGTGAAAACTGTCCTAAAAGTTTATTATTGGCTGCCATGTCACGTTCCCCTTGGTAAACTTTGATTTCTACTTGTGTTTGCCCATCTGCTGCAGTAGAGAATACCTAAAAATGATTCTTTTGAGAGAGTGTGTCACTTACAAAAATTGGTTCTAATGTTATTTAGACTTTACGTGCAATCCAGTCTGAAACGGCAACTTTTAATATCTTATATTAAAGCGAAAACTACAATTTGAAAAGAGCAAAAGGTAATTCGGATCTTACTTTTCTTTTAATCAACAGAAAAAAAAAAGAAATGCTTATTGCTATTTATTTTCAAAGGATTTGAATAGCAAACTTGGCTTTTCTTCGTAGGGATGGTTGTATTGCGCTGAATAAGCTTGGTCATTACTCCACCTAGTGTTTCGATACCCAATGAGAGTGGTGTAACATCAAGTAGAAGAACATCTGTCACATCGCCCGCTAACACCGCACCTTGGATCGCCGCTCCAATCGCGACTGCTTCATCAGGGTTTACTGCTTTTGACGGTTGCTTACCAAACACTTCTTGTACTGTTTGTTGAACCTTCAAGACATAACTTCATAAAAATTCTCAAACTGATCAACTCATATATTATTTGGCCTCTTTTATCTTCCGGTTCTCTATATTGTACTTCTTCAATATTTATTGCAAAAGTTACAAATAAAAGTTATGCATTCTGTTTCAACTTCCTAAGCAACATTTCCGTCCCAAAAAAACAAAAAAGACATACTTTTGGCATCCTGGTCATTCCACCAACAAGTAAAATTTCTCCAATATCGGATGGTTTAACCTCTGCGTCATGCATAGCTTTACGACATGGCTCGATTGTTCGCTTTATAAGATCAGCCACAAGTTGTTCAAACTTTGCACGTGTTAATTTCAAATTCATGTGTTTCGGGCCGGAAGCATCCATTGTCAAATATGGTAAATTTATATCGGTTTGCGTTGTCGATGACAATTCGCATTTCGCTTTTTCGGCAGCTTCTCGCAAACGTTGCATAGCCATAGGATCCTTCAAATTTTTGAAATTTAGTAACGAGTATTTTTCTTTTGCAACAACTTGCAGCTAAATATTCTAATTCATGATTCAAATTCGCTTGTTTCTTCAAAGATGATTCGGATCAAAGTGAAGAGCAGTTGTATCATCATCATCATGAACTAATAAAAGGGAAGAAAACAAAAAGTAATGTGCAGTTCTAAAAAAAGTAAAAAATTCAGAGAATAGCAATGAACAAATTTTATGCCTTGTGGATGTCAATGCCCGAATCTTTCTTGAACTCAGCCGCAAGGTAATGAACCAATGCATTATCAAAATCTTCACCACCAAGGAATGTATCACCATTAGTAGACTTCACTTCGAAAACCCCTTTTTGGATTTCAAGGACCGATATATCGAAAGTACCTCCACCCAAATCATATACTGCGATGCTGAAACTTGATTACATTCATCAGTGAATCAATAAATCGCTACTTTAAAGTTTTGAACAGAAACCAGTATCATAAAAAAGAAAACACATACTTTACAAAATTAGAGAAATTGAGAGCAAACTCACACTTTATCTTCCGCTTTATCAAGTCCATAAGACAAAGCTGCCGCAGTGGGCTCATTGATGACACGCAATACATTCAAACCAGCAATTTTACCAGCATCTTTCGTTGCCTAAATTAAAAATAAATTATGTTTTGCAGAATTTATGGAATTTTCGTAAAAATTCGAACAATACATGTAAGCAGTTTATAAACTAACGCCAACTGAAATATCCCTTACTTTTAAATTACATATGAAAACCAACAGTACCTGTCTCTGAGAATCATTAAAATATGCCGGAACTGTAACAACAGCATTGTGAACAGATGTACCCAAATAACTTTCTGCTGTTTCCTTCATTTTCATCAAAACATATGCACCGACCTAAAACATAATGAGGTTTAGTTAATATTCTATCAAAAGATTTTTTATTGAAAATGATTGCACTGAAAAATGATTTGCATCATTATCACTCATAATTCACTCACCTGGGATGGTGAATACATTTTGCCTTGTGCTTCGACCCAAGCATCACCATTAGATGCGCGAATAATTTTAAATGGAACCACTTTCCTAGAAAGTACAATAAAACGATCAATCTAAATTTGTTCACAAATGATGATCCATAAGCTTGCGTTTCAGATTCTGAAGCATGGACGTCAACTCTTGCTTTACCATGTAAACTATGCCACTGAGTTTTACTTTTGGCACTTTTTCGAAGAGAAATAGTGCTCAATGAACCACATAATTACATTCGAAATAGTGCGTTTAAAGCGTGTATTATTCAAGTTAAAAAACGATTTTACGATACTTAGGGCCTGAAAAATGCATCAAGAAAAACCAACACATCTTTTTGCACTTCTGGATCATCAAAACGTCGTCCAATTAATCGCTTAGTAGCGTAGAGTGTATTTTGTGAATTTGTCACGGCTTGTCGTTTTGCTGGTGCGCCAACTAATCTTTCTCCATCTTTGGTAAACGCAACCACTGATGGCGTCGTCCTCACACCTTCTGCATTTTCAATAACCTATAATGACACAATTGTATCAAAAAAAATTGAAACAAATTATTTAATAAAGCAGAAAAAACGTATCCATTTTCTTCATTCAATTGTAATAATTAGTGTCAAAATTTTCTAGCAAAACTTCAAAATAATTGTGAAGAATCTTTACTTTAGCCTGTTTCCCTTCCATAACTGCAACACATGAATTTGTTGTCCCAAGATCAATACCAATAACTGCTCCCTTAACACCATCAGACCTAAAGTTTATTAACATTTAAACGAAAGGAAAGTAGTCAAGAAAATCTAGAACAAAGAAAATTTCAAAAAAAGAATCAATTCTAACGACAGTAAATTTTATTAAATATAATGGTTGAAAAGAAATAGTTTAAAAGAGTATATCACAAGAAGATAGCAGAAGAGAAACTTCACTTATCCTTAAAAAAAAGTTACAAAAAATTCTAAATCTATGATCTACTTCAACCTACAATTACGACCAACCATCCAATTATATTTGTAGAAGAAACCATATGTATATCACATATGTCATCCTACCTAAGCATTAAAATTTATGTGGATGTCGCGGTCTGCAGCAGAGCAGAGAAACTAAATGCTCTAATCATACAAATATGACTGCATGGTTGACTTATTTGTATTTCGACGTGGACTTACTTGTATCTGCGAGCAACAGCTATCAGAAAATTATCTGCAGGCCGCACAAACAATGTCCGACTACATGTGGCCGCTACTGCTGATCGTATTGCTGAGAAGAGCATCCTTGTTCTGCTTCTTACTACCTGTGTATGATTACAATGTGTTACATTACAAAGATAAAGCTGAACTCTCCAAGAAACCCCGCACATACCGGGACAACTGAACAAACTATCACGAAGAAACCCAAGAACGAATGGGAAATTTCGAACACGCAACACGCCCGTCATACCAAAATCCCACCGTGCACTACTCTCCACAAACCCTACGGTAGCACCTTCCGAGGTTCCTGTCATCTGCTACAGCACTAAAACACTGCTTAAATTATTCAAGCTTATTCGTTCGGATTGGGGAAGAGATTTTGCGTGGGTAAATTCTTTTGGTAGAAATCTTCAGCTTAACTTTTATGTATACTTAATACTAATCATGCAAGTAAGTCGCGGGATATCGAACCTTTACATGACAATCGATAAATTTTTAACTTTGATTTCCAAATGTTTCGGCATTGCTCGTTGACTTAATTTTCACTTAGAATGAACAAAATTTTCAGTGAATTCATTTATTTATTTTTATATATTCAAAAACAGAATGAAATAAGTAATTGATGGATGAATTAAAAGGAAGCAGTCACATTTCATTCCATTTCATCACTCCATTAAATGCTTGCAGGAAATCGATGACATCATCTTTGCCTTACAATTCGTTCTTCCAAATGCCTTATAATCCATTCCTTCATATTATACAGCTATTCCAAAGAAAAAAACAAATAAACCTTACCTTTATCAAGCATTGAGAGAGGCACAATGACATCTTTATGCTATTAATCAACAAGCAATATAATTTGATGATATCGTAGAAAATCAGATGACCACTAATAAATCAATAAGCATGATTGATATAGGAATTGAGCGGATGTTGTAATTGAATTATAATCGATTTTTCAGACTTGTAAGATGTAGCTCTGTGCCATTCCGGATCTATTATTACTCGATACTTAGAACTTTGCAAAATATTGGTAAGAAAAGGAAAAAGGTTACAGATATTTATTTGTGACAAAAAAGAAAGATTAAAGAGAGATTTGAGTGCTATACAGCTGTTTCCTGTCCACTCGATTCCTTTACGGATACGCACTTGTCCGTTGCATTTCTGAAATTTACAATTAAGTACAATTGCTCTAACAAATTGATATAGCAAAATTTCCTGAAATCTAAAATTCTCAAATTTCTTTGAAGAGTAAAAATTTGAAGTTGTGCATAACGAGCATATTCCTACCTTGCTTGTATTTCTTGTGTTACACCTGCGGTTGGCATCTGAATTGGCTCAAATCTTCCATCATCTTCTATTCCAATCCAAGTTCTTCGTTTATTAACCATTTTTTCGATTGCTATCGATGTTCTGCCTTTAATCTGAAATCGAATTCAATTTTTCAAAATTGGAAATGCATAAAATTATTCCATTATATTATCCCATAAAGTACTGTCATCCAATAGTTCTATCAAAGTTTTACGTTAATTCTATAGATAAATAGAAATATTAACAGTTTGCTTAATAGTATATTTTCGCCATTGCAATTTCAAGAAAATATTAAAAGCACAAATTTTCAATCTTCACATCAGTTTTTATTGATCAGTTGTTTATAATTTGAAGCTGTGACATGAATTTGTTGATCGAAAAAGCGTTTTGTCGGAAGCTTTCAGACTACGGTAAATATTTCGAAGAAGATAAGTTGCAAGCTTCCAACATTTTGGAATAATTAAGAAAGAGCTAACCTCAACGTTGTGATCAATTTTAAATGGCCTCAAATCATCTTTCAAAAGAATGATCTTCTCAGAATTGGTATTGGACCGTTGCTGAGGTAACTTTGTATGTTCTTTTGGTTCTTGATGACTCTGAAATAAATATTCGTAAGCATGAGAAATTCCAAATCAAAGAAGGAATAAAATTGTTAACTTTATGCTATGTGATCTATGAAATAGTTAAAAGATGAAAAACGAAAGTTTGTCTAATTCACAAAAATTGCTTTTTCAAATTTTGGATTCAAAATTTCCATAAATTGACAAAAACCTCCTTTTTTCGACTGAGTTCCCAATCTTCTTTCATTTGTTTGATTTCCATTTGATTATGCCGATAGAGCAATGTACAAATCTCATCATAATATTCTGGAAGATAAGCCACAGATTGCAATTGGAATTTTTTGGGAAAAATTTAAATATTTTTACAATTAATGAATTTGGAATAATTTTTGAAATTTCGGAAAGAATTAACTGTTATGAAAACAAAGATACATATCAGCCAAAATTATCAAATATCAGGTAAAATTTTTTTTACTGGACAAATAAGCAAATTTCAGAAAAAAGCATCCAAGAAAATAAAATATTTATCTAAATTGGTAAAGTATCTGGAAAAGGTCACAAAAACGGAAAAATAAATCACAAAAAGATGTATTGCTAAAATTGAATAGATGAAACTTTTATTTCCACACCAATACGATTACCTTTATCAAAGAATTGTTGATCGTCTTCTTCACACCTTTGCAAATCATTTTTCCTTCTACAACAACACTCTATGCAACAATTTAACGTTACCACCAATGATAAAATGATAAGAATAACAACCATAATGAGTACTGCTATTTGTGCTACTGTGAAGTTATTGTTAAATAACTTGGCAAACATTGTTCATCTCAATAAATGAATTGATGGATAGGAAATATGCTTTTTTTTTAAAGTCAAACAGTCCAGAGAATATGGACGAATCTTCTGTCACTGTCTCGTCGAAAATTCCATTTTTGACATAAATTATCTTGTTAAATGATAACAGCAAAATGATGCAAATTCCAAATTCATAATTGATAACTGTAATTATCTGTTAATTAATGAATTTATATTTTATCATTAAAAAAACCATTCAGAAAATCACTTTAAACAAAATACATGACTACTATTTTCTCAGATCAAAGAAAAATGTGGAGTATCAATCAGCCTTGACATCAATATCATTGTGTTTTTCAACCGCGTAACATTTCAGTTTGGTTTGATGGACAGATACTAAAGTAAGTGGTTACAGTTGAAATGGAATAAACAAAGTTGACAGATTAGAATTTTTTTTTTCTCAGTGGGAAGAAAAATTGCAATGACAATTATTGGACGAAGAGAAGAATGGTGGAAATTGATGGGGAAAAAAAAGCATTGGATGAGTTTTGATAAGTGGTTGAGTGAGAGTGAATTTTGGGTACGAATAAAACATGATTTCAATAGTACCTTTCATTGTGATGCTAAAAATGCATAACCAGTTATTGCATTCATTGATGATTTCGAATGTCGCCAAATGAGAGTCAGAAAAATTTTTGTAAGCTTAGTTATATCATTATTTTATGCCGGACAGATAACTTCAAAAAATTCTATTAAAATTTGATAAATAAGCGCTTTATAGATAAATTAATAATTGGACAAGTCAAGTGAGGTTGAAATCATAAAAATATTAATGAAAAATTGTTTGATTTAAAACGAAGTTCAGAGAAGAATGTTCATGAAAGGAAAACAATTTGCCAGCGAAATATTATGACGAAAGGCGTGAAGGACAACGTAATCTTTCTGAAGGATTGACCCATTATATGAAAATTGTTAATTTGAATTAAGATCCTCAATAGTTATTGAAAATGGCACCAAGGACAGCGATACTCTTAACAATCATAAATTTCTTCATTGAATTGATGTTATTACGATGGAATAGAAATCAGCTAATATCATAAATTATACTTTATCAATCAATACAATTCTTGTAATAATTTTCATTTTTCATATTAACAAATCCAGAAGAAAAAACGAACATAAATAATAGCTGTTAACAATGTTAAATCATTTTAATTATAAGGAAATACATGATAAAGAGATAATATCTGATGAACTGTTATTTGATGAAACTTAATGCTTGACAGTTTAAAAAAAAGTTTATTTCAAAAATTTATTAATAATTTGAGAAACAAAAGATGAGGAATTGATTTGTAGATGTTGTCCTTCGAAGGCTAATAAATGCAATCGTTTGCTCTCCAACAGCTCACGTAAGCCGAGGCGATTCTAAAATTATTGGTTCAATTCAGGTGAGGAAAATATTAACTTATAGTGGTTTTTTTTTAATAAATAGAATTATTCAAACAGACTGATATTTTATTATTTTCATTCTGAACAAAAGTAGTGAAAGATCAAGAGAAAAAGGCTTTTATTAAAATTAATTATTTCAATTAAATTTTTTTATCATATATTTTGCAATCGTCATATCATTGATATTTAAAAGTGAAAAATTTGCAATCATTGTATGCAACTACAAAAGCTCATTATTTTGATAAGGTAAAGAAAATAATAAAAAAATTGCTAACCTCTGTGTAAATTTTTGATTTTTCAAGAGGAATGATCTTTGATGTGTCATTCTCGCGATAATATTCGAACCACTAAAAATACCAAGCAAAAAATTGCAAGGAAAAAACTTTCAAATTATAAGTGGAATTAATCAAATATCTAAAAAAGACAAAATTTTCTAAAAAATAGAAAGTTTGAAAAATATTTCCAACTCCTTTTAAACGTTAAAATATGTTCTCATATTCTATCTGTTTAAAGAGATCATTTCAAGAAATCTCGAAATGATCTCTTTAAACAGATAGAAGTCTGGCTAGTATTTGTACTGCCACAAAGCTTATAGATAATGACGAATCATTGAGATTGATGAAATATACTAAGTCTTATGATAATAAAGAAAGAAGTGATTAGGCATATAATAAAAGAAAATAAATTTCACTAAAGCTCTAATTTAAAAACTATCCTTATCTACTGATTAGGTTGGAACAGCTTTAAAGCTCTCTAAATTGGACAGTGTTCGATTAGCTAAAATTTGAGTTTAATGCTTAATTAGTGTGGTGAAATGGATTTATTCAAGAAACAAACAAACCTCAGATTCTTTCGGTACTACCATTGTATCATTTAGAAATTTCACCAATACCAAATTTTGCAATTTCAATAAATTTTCTTTGTATCTCTCATTTACATTCTGAAAATATGTATGTTTTTTTTGCTTTAACTTTTCACAAATTTCTTTAAATCTTTGAAATCAATGAATGCGAAGAAATTTTCCATGCATTGCGTTTGAATTCTCGCAATATTCTTCTCATTAAAACATTCTTTTCATAAATTTGATTATCAAAAAGATTTTAAAACAACCATACTCTTTCATTGTTAATATCAGCAAGGAATATACTACTTTGTCGGTACGTCGCTTCATCTAACGGATCGTGCCAATACTGTGCCTGTACCACCCTTAAATTTATTAATAAACAACCAACTATAATCATAAATGAATTTAACTATGAAATAATCGTATCGTACAGGTCTTTTCCAACAAATTACGGTGAAATATTTTGTTTTTTTTAAATGCTATACAATTTCAAAAAAAATAAACATGAAAAGGAATGAGTGATTTTTTTATATTTTACAAATTGTAAATGTATTAAAATAGAAATTGAAACGGAAAAACAAACGTATTCTGAACAAAGTCAACATATGCGCCCCATTCTAATAAATTTCGTACACGATCACAAATGTAACTTTCTGCTGGACATAATGGTAATCCAAACACTCCCTGATGTTGTCCACCCAATGAAATTAAATTTTTCATCGATGGAATTGGACAACGTTGTGCCACAGCACGCCTATTATATATATATATATATTTAATTGGTTATATTTTCCTTAATAATATTTGAAAATTTACTACAAAATATATTTAAAAAAAAATATTATTCTGCGGAATGGTATTGCATATACGCTTAAAGATTCAGTTAAATCATTGAAATTATTTCGGTAACAATACTCAAAATTACTTGCTATGCAATTATATAGCAATATACAGTGTTAACAATTGAGCAGTTGCTATCAGCTAAGCTTTTTGCAATTTAAAAAAAAAAAAACAGGAAATTAAAAAGTACAGAAATTGCGCGCCCTGTGAGAAGCCAATAGCATTGTATCCATTTCTCAATTTTTCATCATTCTGTATTGTTTGGCATACCTCCGCTACCTGATCATTTAAATTCCCGAAGAAGCCATGTTCCGTGTCCTGAGAAATACACATATACACAGAATCTGTGAAACTTCCAAATCAGATAATCTTTAATTAATTACTGTATGGAAACGAACCATTACAACGTTAGATCCTATCATTACTGAATAAATGTAGACGTTAGGAATATTCGCTTTCAGTAGTTTTTCTATTCGTCCCAAACTTAATGGATTGCAACAGCTGTCACCTAAAGAACTTTTAGACAACATTGAAATTAAAAAAAAATAAACTGCCAATAAAATCAATAATGAAATTTAAGCTTTCGGAATTTTAACGAAGACGAATTGTTAGCCGCCATTTAATATAAATTTTCAATTCCTTGATATTATATATATAAATGTATATGTATATGTGTATGTATCTATGTGTGTGTGTGTGT